GCGGAGCGGCTGGGCCCGTGAGCCGTGGCCGCTGGGCCTGCACGTCCGGAGCCTGGGGTCCGCAGGGGGAGAGACCACAGCAGTGAGAGGCCCGCGTACCGCAAAAATAAATAAATAAATAAAATAAATAAAAAATGTCACCAATGGGCTTCCCTGGTGGCGCAGTGGTTGAGAATCAGTCTGCCAATGCAGGGGACACGGGTTCGAGCCCTGGTGCAGGAGGATCCTGCATGCCGCGAAGCAACTAAGCCTGTGCACCACAACTTCTGAGCCTGTGCTCTAGAGCCCATGAGCCACAACTACTGAAGCCCGCGTGCCTAGAGCCTGTGCTCCACAGCAAAGAGAAGCCACCACAACGAGAAGACTGTGCTCCGCAATGAAGAGTAGCCCCCACTCGCCACAACAAGAGAAAGCCTGCGCGCAGCAATGAAGACCCAATGCAGCCAAAAATAAATAAATAAATTTATTTAAAACAAAAATGTCAGCAACGGGGTGGGGCTTGCCTGGCAGTCCAGTGGTTAAGACTCTGCGCTTCCACTGCAGGGGGCACGGGTTTGATCCCTGGTTGGGGAACTAAGATACCACAGCGGGCCGAAAAAAAAAAATAAAGTCAGCAATAAATCACAATAGCTTTTCACAGAATCTATGACTTTGTCATTAGTAGAGAAATCACAGATGTTTTCATATTACATTACAGGTATTGCAGAATATGTATAGATCCCTCTATATAGTTTTTAATTCATAAAATATATAGGATTACAATGTACTTTATGTACGTAAAAACTTTATTGGGGCTTCCCTGGTGGCGCAGTGGCTAAGAATCCGGCTACCAATGCAGGGGACACGGGTTCGAGCTCTGGTCCGGGAGGATCCCACATGCCGCGGAGCAACTAAGCCCATAAGCCACAACTGCTGAGCCAACGTGCTGCAACTATTGAAGCCCGCGCGCCTGGAGCCCTTGCTCCACAACAAGAGAGGCCACGCACCACAATGAAGAGTAGCCCCCCGGTCGCTGCAACTAGAGAAAGCCCGCTCACAGCAACAAAGACCCAACACAGCCAAAAATAAAAATTAATTTGTAAAAAAATAAAAAACAAAACCTTATTGTCCACAGGCTTCAGTAGAGACAACATTGGGTTCATGACACACAAAAAAGTAAAGCACCCTTGCTTTAGTTGCCAGGTGATGGGGAAATGGAGGGTGGCTCTCAGGGGAGGGGCCAGCCTAGGGAGGAAGGCACTAGGGGCTTGGGACAGCAGCTCTTCACCATCTGGAAGGGAAGCATCTCAATATTTTACAAAGGGTGTGGCAGTCCCCATGTGCACCCCGGCTCCAGCCCAGGTGGGCACGTGTGGTGGGTCTCCCTGTAGAATTTGGGTTTTCCTGCTCAACCCAGCGGTGGGGTCCTCGTGACACCCCTAAGGAGTCAAAGCAAAAATATCTGGCTGACTTCAAAGAGACAGAATCTGAGGCCCAGATCTGGCAAGGTCCGGATCAGCCTTCAAGGTCAACAGCTCGTCATCACCAGAGCCAGGACTAGCCCCACCTGGCCCTGTCTTCTTCCTTCTACTGCCCAGGGATCCTCTGGATTCCCAGGAAAAGTGCCAGGAACCAAATGCATCAAGTTGCACCATTAGCAGTAGGAACAGTGCCAGAGGCATGAAGACTTAAAAGGAGGCAGGGTGCCAAGGCTTCTCCCAGCCAGGCCTCCTCCAGGCCCAGGGAACACAGACCTCTTCAGATGAGGGCCTCTTTGGTACATGCTCCAGGGATGAGGACCTCAGAACAGGGACCTCCCTATCCATCTGAAGGTGGAAGTACAGCAGGCCCGATCCAGGACCCCAACCCCATTCGATTTAGCAGGTGCAGTGAGGACCTGTTACCAGAGTGGTAGGGGAGGGTTTTCTTCCTGACACCTGTGTTGGCCTAAAAGTCCCTCTTGCTTGCTATACCTTCTCTGTATACTTGTAACCTCCAAAACAACACTTCCAACTCCAAACGCTTGTATACCTGTACGGCCTCATCTGCAAACCAAAACCCCCTCCCATCCCATGCCCCTTCCTCCCCTTTGTGACAGCTGACAGTTGCTGACCACTTACTTCTTGGTGAAATTCTTTCTTCCCTCAGTTTTTTTTTTTTTTTTTTTTTTTTTTTTTTTAACATCTTTATTGGGGTATAATTGCTTTACAATGGTGTGTTAGTTTCTGCTTTATAACAGAGTGAGTCAGTTATACATATATATATGTTCCCATATCTCTTCCCTCTTTGTCTCCCTCCCTCCCCCCCTCCCTATCCCCCCCCTCCAGACAGCCACAAAGAACCGAGCCGGTTTCCCTGTGCCATGCGGCTGCTTCCCACTGGCTATCTACCTTACGTTTGTTAGTATATATATGTCCATGTCTCTCTCTCGCCCTAACACACCTCACCCTTCCCCCTCCCCATATCCTCAAGTCTGTTCTCCAGTAGGTCTCTGTCTTTATTCCTGTTTTACCCCTAGGTTCTTCATAACATTTTTTTTTCTTAAATTCCATATATATGTGTTAGCATACGGTATTTGTCCTTCTCTTTCTGACTTACTTCACTCCGTATAACAGACTCTAGATCTATCCACCTCATTACAAATAGCTCAATTTCGTTTCTTTTTATGGCTGAGGAATATTCCATTGTATATATGTGCCACATCTTCTTTATCCATTCATCCGACGGCGGGCACTTAGGTTGTTTCCATCTCCGGGCTATTGTAAATAGAGCTGCAATGAACATTTTGGTACATGACTCTTTCTGAATTCTGGTTTCCTCAGGGTATATACCTAGTAGTGGGATTGCTGGGTCATATGGTAGTTCTATTTGTAGTTTTTTAAGGAACCTCCATACTGTTCTCCATAGTGGCTGAACCAATTCACATTCCCACCAGCAGTGCAAGAGTGTTCCCTTTTCTCCACACCCTCTCCAGCATTTATTGTTTCTAGATTTTTTGATGATGGCCATTCTGACTGGTGTGAGATGATATCTCATTGTAGTTTTGATTTGCATTTCTCTAATGATTAATGATGTTGAGCATTCTTTCATGTGTTTGTTGGCAGTCTGTATATCTTCTTTGGAGAAATGTCTATTTAGGTCTTCTGCCCATTTTTGGATTGGGTTGTTTATTTTTTTGTTATTGAGCTGCATGAGCTGCCTGTAAATTTTAGAGATTAATCCTTTGTCAGTTGATTCATTTGCAAACTTCCCTCAGTTTTAACACAGGCTGCTCCCAAACAGGCTCCTGCCCTCACCTCTCTGGCTTTTCTTCCTGTCTCCATCACTGGTTCCTCTCCCTCCGCCCTGCTCTCAAATGCTCATTGGCCTTCCCTGGGGTTACACACGCTCATTCAGTGACCCTCCATTGTGAGGGGTAGACAGTTAGCACTGAGCGTCCCATTAAGTGGAGCACATTTGGCAGTCCTGCCCCCTGCTCACTGAACACCAGTAGAGCCAGGTAGCCACCATCACAAATGCTTGAAAATTTAGGACGACTTTGACAGGAAGAGATGAGGGAAGAGCATTCAGGCACAGTGAACGGCATAAAGCAAAGGTCTGGAGGCAAGATTTGTCAGCTGCATTCAAGAAAGTGAATATTTACAATGTGAAAGACCTGTGGAGCCTTGTGGTTCAGGTGTTGGGGCTTCTGATAATGGTGGGCCACTGAGGAGGGCTAAGCGGGAATGACCTGGCCAGATTATCTCTGGCAGCTGAGTGAAGGGTGGATTGGAAAGAATGAAGCTAATAATGGCCAATATATATTGAGTGCTAGGCCCAAGCCTGGGTGCTTTATATGTGTTAACTTAGACTGCTCACAATCAATTCTGAGGATTATGCCCATTTTTCAGAAAATGCAGGCCCAGAGAGGTTAACTTGCACCGCCAACATTGCACAGCTATTAAGTGGCAGTGTCAGGATGCAAATCTAGGCAGTCTGGCTCCAGAGTCCACGTACTACCATAGTAGAGGGGTGTTGAGGAGTGTAACTGTAGGAATTCGAGTGAGAGGTGAAGGAACTGGAGAGAAGCAGTTGAAGTTGAGATTTTTAAGAGGCGAAACCTCCAGGACTGGCGACTGATTGGATGGAGCTGGTAACGGAGGAGTTGAGACTGAATCCCTTGTTTGTGGCCTGAATGCTGGGGTGAATAAGATTCTCCCAAGAATCCTCCTTAGGACCCTCGAAGCAGGACGACTCTTGCTCCCCTGTATGCCCAGTTCATCTTATTCTAGGGACAGGTATTTGTTCCCTGTGTCTCACTCATTTTAAAATCGCAGAGTTCAGCCCAGGTCCTGGCCCCCAGCAAGTGCTCCACAGAACCCAGTTGAATTCCAGCCCTTCTAGGCCCCTCAGGGTTAGATGAACTCCTCAGCCCAGAGAAGGAGAGGGCGGACTAGCGCCACACGTATCCCAATTGGCACTTGGAACAGTAAGCTGTAAACCCTGCAGTAAACTCTCCACCGATCTCAGTTCCTGAATTTCCTCCATTAAGGAAACAAAGACCTCCTCTGGGTCTGGGGTAGGACTGGGGGTGGTGTTATATGCAGGGCAGCCAGGCCAGGGGGCCTCCCCAAGGCAGCTGAGGGCAAGATGGCTCCAGGCCTCAGCCTTCTCTCACTGATGAGGGCTAAAAGGACAACCTAATGGTCCTAGTGGCCTCTGGGGGTCAGGGAAGGTGGGGTAGAGGGCAAGGCCACCTCCCCAACACCTCCCCTCCCACCGTAGAGTCGGGGGCCCTTGCCCCAGCCTCTCTCCGTTCTTCAGGGCTGGCTACGACTTTTGGCCAAAGCTTCCCCTCTCAAGGCTTGGGTCTCCTTCCTTATCAAAGGAAAAACCCTTTCCAGCTGCAACACATACTAAGTGCTGACTCTAGATGCCGGGTGTGGGGTCAGCCTGCAGCAGGTTAGGAGACAGGAGGGCCCTGGGACCACATCACGGCCCCCTCAGCCACCAGCACACGCACATGCTAGCCCACAACCAGAGAAGAGAAAAGGAGAAAGAGTTTATTGAAAACTATATACAGTTGGTCCAGCCCCTACCCCAGGCTGCAATCTGGGCAGGCCCCACTCACACCTCAGGCAGGATCTCAGCCCCTGATGGTAGAGGCTGGGGCTGTGGTCAGGGCCCAGACCCCCTTGGGCAGCTTGACTGCCAGATCCCACAAGGACCTTCCTCTGTGAATTTACAACTCTAAATGGCCTGTCAGTGGTGGGTAGGGGACAGGGAATGGGTCCCTGCCCCGACCTAGTCAAAGCCTGGATAGGGGAACACTGTTCTGAAACTTAGGCCCAAGAGGCCCAGCTCGGCTGTCCGCAAGTCCTGGCTACTCCTCCCACGGGAGGTCTTCCTGGCTATGGAGGCAAACAGCCCCCACCACCCCACCCCACGTGCCAGGCCCCATGGGCTGCACAGACTTGGACGGGGGACATCAGGCACCCGCCCTCCCAACGCTGACTAAGGGTTCAGGGCTTCTGGAGCACTGCCCAGGCAGAAGACCTGGGGCTGACAGGTGAGTGCTGGGGTGGCCACGGCTGCGGGTCCAGGACCCTCCTGGGGCAGGGGCTGGTTGGGGGTCAGGGCGTCCCGCTGTAGGAATAGTCTGCTTTGTTGTGCATCACCAGCCGGTCATCCACGAAGTAGAAGCTGTCAGACTGTGTTTCATATGGGTGACGAATCATCTCGTTGACTGCAAGAGAGACCCAGCCAGTTGGGGCAAAGGTCAGAAGCCGGAGCCAGGCCACTGCAGGGGCTTCAGGGCTAGGGGACGCGGATAAGCTGAACAAAGAGTTCCCCCAGCCTCTTTGAGCCTCGGTTT